GAGCTTCGTGTAAAGTCTCTAGTAAAAATTACAATGTTCTGTTTAGGACCCACCTGCTAAAAAAATTGTCTGAAAGTCCTGGATACTCCACAGTCATTAAACACTTAAGAACTGATAATCACAGTCCTAAAACACCAACTAGATTATATCAACCTACCTCGAAAATCTAAATAGTTCACTGTTAGCCATCTCTTTGAGGGTTAAACTAAGAATCCATACTAAATTAAGATATTTCTGGATATTGATCAACTAAAATATCATCCAATCCTAGGTTCCCATCAACTGAAAGACTATAGAAAGATAAGTAACTGTTATTGGATCATGATATGAGCTAACAACCAAGTGAAAAATATTCGCAAACCACATACCGAAACAGCAATTTTGTACGCTCTAGTAAATGGCTTCTAATTGAATTCTAAATGTTTTAGTCAGTAACCTTGATCACCAGAGTTCAAACATATCGCAATTGAGACACATGTCATTTCAAAAAAGCTGGATAGTCGTAGCTGATTAACACAAACTGACTGAAATTGAAGGTGTCAGCTATTAATTTCAAACTCAGTAGACTAAGGTGATCGTATCTGCCACTAGACCTGAAGGTCATCAATCGTGACTGTGCACTGTTAAGAAGTCCCAAATTTGTTGAGAAAACAACCATTAATTGATTCTTGATTCTTAATCGTTAACTAGCTGATGTTGGTTAGTAAAGAAATCTACTTTCCTACGTATAGGGTAAAATATTCTTCACACACTAGCAACCATACTTACCTTCATAAATGAAGTTAAATTTAGAAATATCATATGAATCAAATGAATTTTTGAATGAGGTCATTTTTCCTAAAGAATTTATCCAGAAGTCAAAAACAAAGATGAGACCAAGTTTAATTGAATAGCTGAAATCACTTTACACACGATTAACATGTAGATTGTTGAGACCGAATCCATTGAGTCTTTACATAAGTTGAATAATTTTCAGCCATAAAAGTTTTCTTACGACAATCTCATTTAATTAAGTTGCACTATTGTACTTATAATTAATTTTACGTGTGACAGTCTAGACAATTAAATGTTTTCGAAGACAAAAAACAATAGACAGCGCTTGGAAACGTCTGGTCGTCTGTAATAACCCTTTTTAGTAAACGGAATACAATCATTAAGATATTAAATAAGAAAGATTGGTTCAGCGAACAGTCCTCTTTTCGGCGAATTCATATCTAACAGAAGTTTATTGTCTTTATTATTGTAATTATCATCATCCTGAAAAAATAAGTATATAGATATGAGATTGTACAGTTTTGAAAATGAATTCGCCGAAAAGAGAACTATTCGCTGTTTTATTAAAGGTTATCACATTATAAATATGATTGTACAGATTATGTAATTGATATCATTGAAGGGAAATTTTTCTTTTTTGAAATGTTTACATTTTGTTTGAATGCTTATCCACTGTTAGAAATACATTTAATAATCATTTAAACCATCATAGTCATCATCAATAACATATGTGTGAACAGAGTAATCGATTTCACGAACTCCCTTACACGCCAGAGACGAAGTAGCAATAGTTAGTTCAACTTAACCATAAATAAGAGACAAATATTTTTGTTTCCTTGGAAAAAAGTACACTAGATAAGGAAAATTCGAACAGAAATCTCGCATAACAATGATTTTTTTGTACAATCACTTCTACGCTCTTCCTTTATAGAATAAGTTTGTTGGCTGGTGATAAATCAAACAATTACCCGAAACAATATTTAGTTAAAAGAAGACAATATATAGAGCTGTTTCATTAAGAATTAGTAAACTAGACGTGTTGTATTAAGGCTTTCATTAATTCTGTAAAATAAATTTCTGTCACCTAAGTGAGTCATAATGTTGCTATTAGTTATTTTTGTAAACACTGAAAAAAAAGATACAAACTCTCTGCAAACATGTTTATTTATAATCATTTGTAACTAATTTTTTAGGGTGAGACTATAATTTATAGACGGCTTTAGAGCGGCTCTAAAGTAACCTTGAGAATGTCCACCAATTTACCAGAGTTAAATGAGGACTATAAACCGGTGTGAAAAACAAAGATTATGATTAACAATTGATGGTTAGGGCTAAGAATTAGATTTAATGTTCTCAACACGAACTGACATCAGCTAAAGTGCCAAAACGCTATGTAGCTAAATGAATGAATGAATGAATTTCGCACCAAAAACTAATACCAGTTATCTTAAATAAGATTGATTCGTTCATAAATTATGGTCTCGCCATTTTTCGGATATAATTTGTTTTGATCTTAGGTATATACTTCAAATTATGTGATTTCTGTGATTTAAAGTATATGAATACCAGTCGAGTGTAATGGATATAACATCATTTGGAATAATTAGAATATCACAGTATTATGAAACACTCGGAACCGTATATATACAAATTTTCATTGATTACTTTATTTAAGAAATGATTGATAGTATTTCATTCAAAATGATGTCAGAATGATATATTTCGACATTTGAAAGGCTCATCAAATGACTACTTACATTAACAACCTAATTAAGCTTTTTTTTAAATATGATGATAGATTTATGGGAAGTTGGATAAAGAAAAATACATAATCAGTCGATTAGTCAATAACTTGCAGAGAATATATGAACAACCATCAGTAAACAATACTTCAAGTCTGGTAAGTAAAGATGGATAGTGGCAAGCAGTGGAATCCAGGACGCGAGTTTCGTCCTATTCGGGACTCGTCAACTGGATGTACCTGCATCTCAGAGTTGATGTTCACTCTGGAACTCGAACCAAGTATCTTTCGTTTCAAACGCCATTGCGTTATCCACTCAACTACTGAGTCCTGATAGCCACTTCTTAGAGTGAACATCAACTCTGAGATGCAGATACATCCAGCTGACGAGTCCCAAATAGGACGAAACGCTCGTCCATCTTTGCTTATAATGCTTGTGAATTAAAGCTATATCGAGGCAATACGCATAGTATGCATATATGCCAATTAGAGACTGACCAGTTGTAGTCCTAAAAATATCAATGGGAAGATCCAAACAAACAATACTAAGTAAATTTAAATACTTCAAGTCATTAGAATTCATATTAGTACAGAGAAATTGAAAATCAATCGGGTAAAAGCAAATGAATTGAAACAATAACATCAAAATGAATCAAAACTAAGTATAGAATGAATAAGAAAGAGGAATGAAAAGTATAACATAATGCTAAATCTTAATATTCAAATAAAAATTAAGAAGAAATTTCTTCCTGCAAGCTGAATTACTTAACAGGGAAGCTTTCATTGTCCCTCTGAACATTAAAACAAATTTCAAATAGAAATCGGTTATTCAGTTTTCCCCCGTCATCTTTGATAAAGTCATCAGTAATATATGGACAAAATCGTAAAGATCACTTCTATCTAAAGCCCGTGCTGATGATGTTGTCCAGAAGGTCAATGAAAGTTATACCATTGAATTTTTGATTTCCATGCCAAGTTGATTTATTTGGTAATTTTGAACAAGACAAGAACAAAATAGGATGTTTCTGAATAAAATTAACTAACTCTTTCTCAATACTATTTTCTAAAAATGAAAAGTTTCAAGAAATATAATCAATTCATTTTTGGGCAATGTAATAAGAAGATAATATTGATTTGAGATATGTGATTTATGTAAGTATCAACAATCTGATTACATAATTATGTATCGAAAATAAACTAAGCTCAAATAACTGGTGATGATAGGAAGTAGGTCAGTTCGAATAACGTCATACTAAGTAAGAAAATAACTAGCTTTGATACCCTCTATCTCATTAAAAATGGCTGAAAGATTATCATTAAAGAGAGGTTTAACATGATAGCCAAATATTTTTGTACAAATCAATGAGATATAAGAATGTACATTCTAATTAATCCATTTTCGTTACTAAATATTACGTAGAAACTTGTTTACTTTTCTACTATGTATGATATTTTTTAAAATTTAGATCTTCCATTATCACTGTTCATATTAGTAGTCTGAGAAAATCTAATGATAAGTAAATTTGTAATCAAATTGTTAGATATGTACAATGTAAATACATATCTATGGAAGCAACTTCATTGTGAAAATCAAAACAACATTGCTTCCAATTAGATTGTCATCAGGCTTTAATCCGATAGACATGAGCATTTATATGATTATATGAATACAATAAACCAATTAAGGCAGTTTATGAGTCAATGATAGCAACGAAATAGATTACATAACTACATATAACGTTCAGAAAGTGCAAGATGAAAAAGATAGATATATCAATAATGATTAGGATGATAATATACTCACATAAACATTTATGTATATTTGAGTAAAACCTGATGATGAGATAACTAAAAACAATATTATTCTCTTATATGTGTTGTTGTAATTTCATTTTATCGAAATTTATGTCGTTAATAAGATGTTTTGAACTCATTTTTGTTGGGGATGCTAGATCCCCAGAAATAACTTGGTAAATGTATTATTTTTGTAATTTTATTCTGGAAATTCGAATTTCTTGTTTTCATGCCAAAAGCGTCCATTTTAACCTTCATATTGTAGTTCTCACTTGGAAGGACCCTAGGTGTCATTGGATTTTTGCCTCTTTTAATATGCTATTTCGTGACATTTCCCAAGGACATTTTTATGCTGTATATATACGTCTGAGTTGTGTGCTTGTTATTGTTCGTGCTTCGGATGCTCTGTGGAATATAACTTTTCCTCATCTGAGCCAGGTCTTCTCCCTCTAGTTAGCAGGGCTGGGACAAATTAAAGTAGTTCAGCTTTTCTTGTCGTTGTGTTGCTGATCCCTCGTTCAGTTTTCTGATTTAAGGTGATCTCGTAATCTAATTAAAAATAGTAATTTTATTCAACTAATCTTATTCTTCTTGCCTTGTTCAACATCTTACATCACATAATATTCATATAAAAGTTGAAAACACTATAAATAGGCTAAGTAGTTACCACCATACAATCACAAGCAACATCTCCAAATTTAATTAATAGCATAAAGTAACACACAAATTAACACATATAAAGTATCTAAATTCAAAATCAATATTGGAATTACATGTTACTTTAAACTGCTTACAGAGATATCAGTCAATACATTAAGCATAAAAGTCAAAACTTAAAGTAAATATTAACTCTGATGTATGCAAAAACAGCTAGTAATTACGCTGATAACTTAAAATAGTAATTTCAAAACTTTAAAAAATTGAAGAAACGAATTATTTTTTAACGTTTGATGTTTTTAATCAAATTGAATGAGGAGTATAATTAGAAGTTGGATAATGAATCATAGTTGATAAAAGGTTGGTTTATTAACCTGAAAGCTATTTAAATTAGATCACACCTCACCTTCTGTTTCAACTCTAATCATTATCCCTAGTTTTAAGTAAACAATATTTGTAACTTACTTTATCCATAAAGTTTTCATCTTCGTAGTTCTTCTAAACAGAATTGTTCAGAAATCTGGAGAGGCTATAAGGCTGTATGACTTAGTTCATATTTTAGGGATACCAATAAACAACGAGAACAATAGAATATTCAATGAGCTGATGGCTATTACTCATACTTTTATTGATTTAATTGCCTAATAACTCCATAAATGCAGATGATTCGCAATATTTTTTCATTTGACAATTTTGTAAACAAGGATTACTTGCAAATAACTTGATTTTGTTGTGAATCATATAAGTAGCGTTTTGAAAATGATTTATTACAATGTTAGACTTAACCAAACTACATGCACATTAATCAACCAAAGTTAAATGTGTTTTACATTGAATAAAACGTGACATTTATAAAAATTCGATTACAAAATCACATAATTGTGACTTAATAACTAAACTATTTGAGAGAGCTCAAGTTGATAAACTCAGTTATTAATTGAATCTGAAGGCTTACTAGGCTTGTAAATTCGAGTGGTGATCGTGTAGAGAAATTAATTGGGATCACCCATGGAACTTCCACATGACTGAGCGACACAAATATTTGTACCTCAGTTTGAATCACAACGATTTGGTGTAACACAGGAAGACCTATCAATATGATCATTGTATGGCTTGAATAGACACTTATCTCTCTATCAAAGAGCACAAGTTTGGATGATTGAAATGAAATCCAGATGTGATTAGTCATAATACCTCGCAGATTAGACGACATAATTTTAGATGCCAGAACAAATCTCTAGATGTTTCCCTAATTCAAGCAATATCTTAAACGCCATGTCAATAAATAAATATAACAGAAACAACAGTGCAGGAAACCACGATTAGAAACAAAACGGATAGAAAAAAATAACAACATTACATTTATAGACCATTCCAGACACCAAAGAGAGAAACTGATAAATCCTTTTCAGAACGTAAAATAAATTCATTTGTCTACCTGTTAATCAATATTATAATTCAATTAAGACACATCAAATTAACTGAATAAGGAAATACTTCTTTTCATTTAGGTTGTTGATTCAACTTCTCTTAGATTTGCTAGTACGACTGACCCTGTGCAAATAATTGCATCTGCCGTCAAATGTGATAATTTCATTGTGGAATTCCTGACCACTAGCCTTCACAGTTATTGAAAGGATAGTTAATAAGAATCAATAACTATATATCGGATCACTTTACGGACACATGACATCAATCTGACTTGAATAAAACTTTCGAAGAGACTCATCTTATCTCATTACCTGTATTACATGATCTGTGCATACATCTACTAAACACGGGAGAAGTCATGCTCATTCGTATTGTGAAACATAATATTTATATTTCAAGTGAATTTGTATAGGCACTTCAACTAACTTGTTTATTGATGTAGCCTGAACTTTCATCTAACAGTTTACTCACCATACTGTGGTAATCTACAACTGAGCTTTTTTTCACAGTACTTCTCATCGTCCTGTTTACATAAAACTCTTTCCAATGTTGATAGTTTCATTCTTACGTAATTATCATGAGCATTTGTCTTTAAAATAATTTACTCAACTTGCTTTTTAGTTATTATGTAATTTGTTGGCTATGTGAAATTCTAATTCGATTTGGTAATTACATGAAACATTTGAATATAATAACTGTTTGATTCGTCTTGATCTCTAAATTAAGTCTTTGATCATTGATCATTATTTTGATAAATAATACTGAAATTATAATACCATTAGCTGACTCATCACCACTTGATTGATATTAAATCTAGTAGTTATTTAATAGTTGAATTCATGAATCGATTGAAGCTATAGCACCATAGAAAACCTGTAAGCACTAGACGCCTGTTTTGTCCTAATATGGGACTCCTCAGCAGTGCTCATCCACGATCACGCCTAGCAAGATTCGAATCCAGGATCTTCGGTCTCGCGCGCGAACGCTTAAATTCTAGACCACGGAGCCGTCATCCAACGGTGTTAATGTCTAACTTCAACCAATCCACGAAATCGCTCCATCGTCCACCATTGTCCTCAGTGGGTCACAGCCTCACAACAGACACGGTTGAACACTGGCCACGGCTTCTCTCGAGAACTCAAGAAAATACATCTTAAATCCAGTCACTAGTGAGCACATGGTGATTATTATGAGAGACAGGGTCTTGTGGAGTTATTTTAAAACATATATTACACAAATAGCATTCAGTTAGTGTAGAGCCATAATGGAAACTTCGATGAATATAAATATTTTATTACTCAATTTTTAATTAATATTTAGTCATTTAATGTATCGAAAAAATGTAGCCAACTTTATCATAAATTAAATTAAATTCTCTTTAGGAAACAAATTACTTACAGTCTGTATTTCACTTACATAAACGACAGAACTTTTCGAATGTCTATGATAGTGTATATTGAAAAACTGAACTGCGTTTGTGAAGTAGATAACCTGGAATATTAAATATTAATTCTCTTTAAAACACTTGAGAGAACTTCTACTTGGAAGAAAACAGTACACTGTGTTTGGAGGAAAGTGTTCAACATCTCTACTGACTCATGAAGGTATGCCACAAAGAGCTGTTCTTCCCCCTCTTCTTTTCTCTTTTTTCTGCACGATATGCCAACTTCCAAAGAAAACACTTTTATTGAATACGCGGGCGATCTCACTCTGTATGCCAATTTCTACCTCTTCATATCCCCTTGAAATGAATAATTTCTTGTCTCTAACTGAATGCTGGTCTCTTGTTATTGGTCCCACACTTAATCTATCCAAATGTTAAACTGTTAACTTTAGCCTGAGACATGAACAGCTAATAAACACTTAGTTGGAATCCCATAAAGTTTTCAATGCTGGAGACTCTTTAATAAACACAGCCTCAAAGGTCATTTATCTTGGTGTACGTTTTTCCTCTGATCTCTCTTGGTCTTCATTTTTTACTATTAACGAAGAAAGTTTACCATCTGACTTACTACATAAAGAGGGTGCAGGTTTTTGAACTACTCGACATTTACTCTTACGATTTCTTAATTCCTGCATACTACATATTATTATTTACTGCTCTTCATTACTCTTTTCAGGGTTTTTGAGAAGAGATTTTGATGTATTATGAAGAATGCTATAGGCAATTAGCAGGGTGTGTGGTGAATCTTTTAGAGTCATTATTAGTATGGATGTGGATAGACATCTAAAATCTTGCAAACCTCTGTCAAGTGTTATTTTATCAGATACTAACCATCCACTTCATTAAGATCCTTCCCCGTGTATATCTTCTGGTAGGACGATACATTAAGGCACGAGAAGCTATTCACACAAGTAAATATATAAAAGCTCTACAATACCTTATCTAGCGAATTTACTTGGTGACGAACAGGTTATTAAGCCTAACCCAGTCAGTAACTTGTATTCTTAAACATGTTTCTAATTAAAACATTGTGTATATTCATGTCTTAATAAAACATTCCATTTAATTCCGGGTATTTTATTTACTTAATTTATGTATATAAGTCTGCAATTATCTGTTTTTCTTACTTTTCTTGTTAAAGAAACTTGTTGGAAAACTTTGTGCTGAGAATTCTATATTGTACTAATAATATAACACAGAATAAAGCCATCATTAATTGATAGTAGTAATAATAATAATAATAACTTATATGTCTCTTAGCCTAAAATCAGTGATATGCGTTTTTATATTCAACCATGATACAGCCTAAACTTAACCCAGTCCTAGCAACGATAATTATTGTAGTTTTAATATGTTTAAGCTAGCTAATAAGTATCTTTGAGGCGTATAACATTTTCAGAAATTAAAATCAAGTTCTTGTCTGAATCAATTGTCAAAATCAATCAGATTAACATTAGAACTTTATAGTAATAAAAACTACTGAACTGAGGAATAGGTTAATGAATATTACGGATTAATATTCTTTGTGAAGAATTTCTCTATGATTTAGGTCACTTGAACTGGGCGGGCTAAATGAAGTTATTGTCATGTGTATAGTCTAACTACTACTCATAATTTTTCAATATAATGGTCAATGTTGAAATGGTTGACTAAAAATTTAATAAAATATTTGCTTCACTTACAAATCGAATCCTCACCATCACTAACTCTTTCAAACCAAAGAATTCCATTTCAGAACATTAGAATATATTTTGCAATTTTTCATTGAATAGATGCTTATTGGTGACTGTCGCGTTATTATGAATGAAAACAGTAAAAGCTGTTAATATTGAACCATTCAAAATTCTTTACTCCGTTAGGAGGCTGGCTTTACAGAATTGATAAATATAAAAGTATGAAACATCTTACGACCATCCTGTGGATGCAATGTGATTAGACAATAGTTTCTTCCTAAGCAAAGATGAATGGTGTCTATCAGTGGAATCCAGGATGCATGTCTCCTCCTATATGGGACTCATGAGCTAGATACACCTGTTATCCCAGAGTTGATGTTCATTCTGGGACAAAACTTAAGGCAGTATCAAAGCAATCCGCACAGGATGTACTTATGATCAATCGCAATCCTGAATATCAATTAGAAGATTCACACAACCAATGCAATATAAATAGTTTCTTTTTGCTTCCTCTGATATCTCAGAAATTCAGTTTAACTCGTCAGTTGTAATCCTCAAGTTAAGAAATTGTTCTCTAGATTTTCAGAATGATGACTCATTCTAATGTTTCTGTTTCGAAAATATTGATTATTGCTCACATACTGTTAGGCCCAACATGTTTATCGATCAATTTTTAACTTATTCTGTAAACAAATTTCTGAGTCAATAACACTTGTGCCTGAACAAGCACAAAGATAAAAATCACATACACAAAATATATGTATTTGTTAATAAAGGCACGAACATCCAACTAGTAAATGTGTACCTTGAAA